AGGCAGCAGCATCCCGTTGCCATGGTGTTGACTCCAGCTCCATCCCTGCCTGTGGCCCTCAGGTGGACAGAGCTGCAGGCTGCCAGTGCCACCATCCCCGCCCTCTCTGCCTCCCTCCCTCCCTTCTCAGCCTTTCCTCTCTGGTGTCTCATTTCTTTGTCTCTGAATTTTTTCTGAGTCTTTCTCTGTCTCTCAGCCTCTCTCTGTCACTGTCCCCATCACCTTTGGCATCATCCCCACCGGGCTCTTCCTGGGCCTCTCAGTCTCCCTTCTGTGGGTCTTTGAGCCCCCACCCCCATTTCTGTCACTTACCTGCCTCTCCATCTCTGAGTGTCACCTCTCCGCCCCTTCCCAGTCAGCCCCAGGCCTGGGGCTCTGCCCCCCACGCCAGGCCTCAGGGCCCCTCTCCATCACGTGGGGAGAATGAGTCCGCCCCACCTCCACGTGGAGCTGCTGTGAGGGTCCAGTAAGACCCTAAGGGATGATGCTCTGTGAGTGGTGAGGCCTCCTGGTCCTCACATGTGTGGGGAGGGGAACCAGCTATGCCCCCGCCACGGCCCTGAGCCCTGCACACACTTAGCCGGTCAGTTGGGGTCCCCTTCCCAGAGCTGGTGCTGGGGAGGGGCAGTGAGCAGGAAGCCCGCCTTTCCAGAGTCCGCCTTCCTCTGTGCGCCCCCTCTCTCCGGCCCCCTAAAAGCCTGGCCTCCTGGCCTCGCCCCCCATCCCGCCCCCATCCCGATACCTCGGGCTCTGAGAGGCCTTCCAAACGCAGCGAGAGGCCTTCCAAACGCAGCCAGTGGTCTCCTCCGAGGCCTCGGTTTCCCCCGGAACAGCTGATGGGGGCGTGCTGGGGGCACCTGTGGGCAGTCAGCCGCCTCAAACTCCCTGATTCTTTTCAGCTGGAGCAAGAGGCCTGTTTATGGAGCTCTTACTGGGCTGTCCTAAACCCCAGGCGTTTGCTGCCTTTAATCGGGTGACCTGGGGAAATGGAGGTGCCGTCGACCTCCCATTGTACAGATGGGGAAACTGAGGCACAAAAAGGACCCAGGACTAGCCAGGGTCAGTGGCAGCTGAGAAACTGAGGCGCGGGGGCAATCACATAGGTGCAAGCGGGGGCCATGTGGACCCCGGTCTGGGACCCCTGTGCTCCCAGCGGCCTTCCTCCCTGCCTAGTGGCTTCAGCCCGGCTACAAAGTGGGCCGCAAGCGCCCCCTGCAGGCCTGTTGG